ATCTTATTTGATATTCTAATTTGAAATTTATACAATTATAATTTTTTTTATAAAATATTTGATATTAAAAAAACAATAATATGTTCATTTGATATTAAATATTTAATAATATCATATTTTATTTGTAAGTGGTTTTTTATATCTTTTTATAAAACTTAATTAATCAATATTGAAATAATAAGAAAGTGAATACGAATATACTTGTTACCAGATGGAAACGAAGGTGTGATGAATATATTATACTCTTTATGTATGGATACGAAGATGAGGATGAATTTTTTTCTTTGAGAATGAGTATGGGTTAATGAAACTCATCCTTGTCATCTTTAGTAAGAAAGATATTATCAAAAGTTGACACATGCTTAAAAAAACTATTAGAATAATAACATCATAAATCATTGTTATAATAATGACAAGGATTAAATGTGTTTTTAGTTACTAAACTTTGACGCAAAATTTGAATTTATCATTATATAAAACTTTGATACAGGTTAGTTCCTAAACTTTAAAAATAAACAAATGTCTTTTTAATCTAATTTTATTGAAATTTTGTCAAACGCATTTTAATATAAAGTATCAGTTGTTTATACCATTTTGATACATTAAAAAAAATTATATCTATTATTTTTTAAGTTTATAACTATAGTACATTAAAGTTTGGAACAATAATAAATTCTAACTTCATGATATATAAATACTTGAAACATATTTAATCTTGTAATTAAGCAAATTATGTATACCCGTATTTTTCAGACTTCGTACAATATTTCTATAATTTCTATTTTTGCACTAGAACAGAATTCTTTGAAATACTATTTATTATTTTGTGATTTAAACTGTTTTTATCTCCCTAACTTCAGACAATTCTTATTGTCAGTGTGAAACCCTGATTAATTAACACTCTCAAATCCACACTCTGATCACCATTTAATGCACCGTGCCACGTCAAAACACACTCACACTCACTCTGCATGCGTTTGCCAAGTGTCACGATTGAAAGTTTGGAATTTGATAGTGGAAAACAAGTGGCGTGTGGAGAGTGGCGTTCGTCCTGCGTAAGAAGGAAAACGCTTCCACTCTCTGCAGGCACTGGATGCCATCTGTCACGTTAGAAGCTTCTAAAAGCTGTAGTGGGAACCAAGTGGCAACACGGGAGTGCACCTCCGTTTGACGTGGGAGAGAAAAATGATTTCTCTGAAAACACTTCACTTCATTCCATGCATTCACCTTCTTCCTCACGAAACTCTGGCCATTTCTCTTCTCCAACCTCTCTCTAAAACCTTTCATCTTCTCTCTAAGATAACTCACCATCATCTCCTCCGATCCCATTTCAGATACCGTAGAAACATTCCCTGCACCGTGAGCATCGTTCTGAACCGAACAGAACTGAGATCTGAACCGGTAAGCTCTCAAACCCTAAAAACCCTTTTCTGAGTTGCATGCGGACCCTGATACAGCTGCATGTTGGTTTATACACTAAGTTCTCCTACGTTTCTTTTGGTTAGAGTTAGTGAAACATTTGAGAAGCTCGTTGCGGGTAGGAAATTGTATTTGGGCAAGTTAACAAGCGTTCGCTTAGGGAGTTCATTGCTAGACCAAGTAAGGGAAGCTTTAGTAATTTAATTTAATACTTGTTTGATGTGTATGAAAGCAATGAAGTGTACTGGATGTCTGAAATGCATGAAATATTTGATGTTTAAGTATGCATGAACGAGCATGGTTGCACTGGATGTATATGATGAATATTGTTTGAACTGTATGCTGAGAATGAAACGTATGATTTGGAATATGATTAAATTTCTGTATGGTTTGGGATGATAATATGAATTTTGTAATGTATGAGATTTATGGTGGAGAGAAATTATAAGTTATGAATCGTATGAAAACTGTAAAGTTATTGTAAAATGAAAAATCTGGAAAATATCATATTCTCTGCTTGATAATGTACGCCTCGTCACGTAGCACGTCTTGATACCGTTCCGTTTTCCCCCTTTGAAAAGGACTAGAATAAAATTCTTTGGCAATTACGTAAAGGACTGACTGAAAGAGCAGACGTCCTTTTGAGTGAACGGTTAGTTTGACGCTTCCGGCTTCAGCCTACGCGTGTCCAACGTAATTGAAATAAAATTTAAGTATTTGTACGCCTGTCCTGGCTTTAATATTTCCACATCCACAGCGTCCGTCATAGTAAACGCTTATCTTATACAGGAGCCGTTCGTCCCAAATGACTCCCTCTTAGATTGAGCCGTCGTCCTAATTAGCGTTCGGTTTGATACCCGAACGTTCGCCTTCGAAATGACGCGTTCGGTTCGTATTGATGCCTCGTCATTCACCTCGTCGTGCGCCTAAGCTGTGTACGGTGATACGTGAACGCCTCGTGTTCCTTATCAGTGATTCTAGCGACGTAAATAGCGTACGTGCTCCAAAATTAGTTTTGACGTTCGGGTCCCAGTTCCTGACACGTTTGGTCTATCGATATAATCATACTTATTTGGTTATATAAAATAATTGGTTATGTCTTTAATCCTTTTTCCCGTTCGACCTAGAGTCGTTTATACTTAAAATTTCTCTTAAGTATTATTCAAATCTTTTTGGAATCAATTCCATTTTAACGTTATTATAAATACTCTAACGTCCGTTATGGGCAAGGGTTCCGTTTCTAGTTTG